TGACTAATTATTGATAAAAAATGAATATATTTTTTTTGAAATTTTCTCTGTTTACAGGTGACAATGAAAGATCGAGCTTCAGCAGAAAGGGCCTGCAAAGATCCGAATCCAATCATTGACGGTCGTAAGGCTAATGTTAATTTAGCATATTTGGGTGCAAAACCAAGAGGCAACATTCAACTAGCCGGTAAATATAAAACCAATACCTCACTGTTTATAAAATTTCTTCTACTTTTATCTCTTATTACTTCTACTACCGTTTCTTTTATTTTTAATATTGCTTTTGTTTATGTTGTCAATAATGGTTTTTTGTTTTTATTATTATTATCACTATTACTACAACTACTACCATTGTTATTAGTATTAGTATTACTATTATTATTATTAGTAACAGGTCATCAGATAACAGTTGAAAATATTTTTTCTTTCAAATCCATTGCGCTTTTAGTTTTTTTGGTTACTTCTAAAGCGGAACTAGAATATTCTTTATTTAAGATTTTCTTATTTTTTTTTCCTTGATATTTCAGTGTATTAGAAAGAAAAAAGTACCTAAATTAGAAAATAATGATTATAAAAGTGCGCTTCCCTAAAATTTAACTGCATTTAACTGTCTAAACTAAATACACCGGTCTAGATGTAGTTGAAATTGACGAATAGCACTTAATTGGGTGACAGGCAATGGCAAACAAGTTAAACGATACAAAATTTCAATAAAATGGCTTGAAAAAGAGTGATGTCTTTCCACAACTTCCTCTTTTTGTCCTTTATTTTTTTTTTTTTTTTTTGCTTTTTTCCTCTTCAATGTTTGTTAATTTATCATTGCTTATTCGCTGCAGAAACAGTTCTTAACCAAAAAATTTAACAAAGAAAAGAATGGAACAAAGAAATGAACTGTTATGAAAAGCAGACTTGAAAAATTTAAAAGTATTTCAACAATGTTAATCATATTTCCATTTGTTTTTTTTTTCGCGTTTTACTTGAGAGTAAAAAAAAAAAGAGAAAGAACAGCAGCTGCAGTGGTAGCTTAATTGTTATATATTCTATTTCTTATTAAACGACTGAAACAGTCGATTTGTGTTGTTGTTGTTGTCGTTTTTATTAGACGACCAAAAACAAAAAACTTTCTAAAATAAGGCACAGCAGAATGTACGACTGTTTTAAGCGCTATGGTGTTAAAAAAAAAGTTGCTTCATAACAATAGAACAAAAAGAAAATGAGTTGTTTCAACAGAAAAGTGCCAATTTTTTGTTCCAAAATTATGGTAGTACTTTAACTTTTTACACTTTCCCTCATTCTTTCCGATCCCTAAAAAAAATTCTCTTCAGTCGTCTGATATAATTGGCAGTCTTTGGTTTTACAGTTCAGGTAATCAACGCATTTTCTTTTTGTTGTTGTCGTCATTGCTGCCCTTTCGGTGAAATATCTAAAATAATGTCAAAAGTATGTATGCTTAAACAAAATAAGCGAGTCGTGTTTGAATCAGAATGCGGTAACTGGTAGCACATCAAAAAAATTTTGCTTAGTTTATCTGTTTTATCACACATCGTTCTATCGGTTCTCTTTTGGTTACCGTGAGAGGCTAAAACATAAGAAGCAAAAAAAAAAAGGGCAAATGATCAAATCACTGTTCAACTATTAACTTCACTCAGCTAATTGGTATATCAGTGTCTAAAACATTTGGAGCAAAAGCCTATCTAATCGCTTGGACTGTGTTCTTTTTATTTTTTTTAAATTTATTCTTTCTTTTTTCTTTGATAAAAGTGATTGATGATGATTGACTTGTTTTCTGGCTTCAAAAAAACAAAATAAAAAGAAACGACAATTTTTTTTTTTTTTATCTTTTGCAGCTATGTATGAATTAAATCCAAATTGCTACAGCTTTGGAAGAGGGCTTTTAAAATTACTGTAGATAATGTGAAAAAAAGGTGAAGCAAAAATAAAACATTATTGACATTATTGGATAGTTTAAGTAGAGCAGTGGTAAAAAGTGATACAACTGGGTGAGAAAGAGCTAAAAATTAGTGAAATTAGATAGGAATAGAAACTAAAATTTTTTTCCCAACAAATACGTTGGTTATTGGTGTGTTTAAAGGTGTTACGATTTGGTGTGATGTTTTTTTTGTATTGATTTATGCATGGTGTTACCCCTGTCATTTCACTTGCATTGTTTTTTCAGCGCTTTCTAACGGACTACAGCAGCTTCCTCTACAGGCCCAACTGCAGGCGTTGTTTCCCGGCCGCATTGCCGGGTAAATGATTTGTTTTTTTTTTTTTTTTAATTTGCAACTAATTAATTCAATTTGGCAAAAGTCTAAGTCTGTGTTCTTTTTTTTTTTTTTATTCTGTTCTCTGGATCTTCCTTGTCTACCAAAAACTGCAGAGAAAAAAGTTGAGGGGGAGGACAAAAAAAAAGGAGTAGGAACAATATTTTTTGGTTCATTAAGTGACGTAGTTAACTGAAGAACAAGTTTTGGACTTTTGCCAACTATTTTGAATTTATGAGTGATGTCCTATTTTTGTTGTTTGTAATTGCGCGATTAGTTGGAACAGTAATTCGCAGGCAATTTATTGGGGGTTGTGATGTTTTCTTTCTTTTTTTTTTTTTTTTTTTTTT